AATTATAGAAGAAACAAAAGAAACAAAACTTTACTCTAAAGGTTAAACAGCTTCTGCGTACTTGGATGATAAAAAATCCTGGTAATGACCCGTTTAGCTCCTGCAGGTTGTCTCCATTTAAGATATTTGAAATAAATATTGTAAATGATAAATGCGTACAAAATTGTTTATTTACAAAAAGCAAACACTAAAGTTTCTTGATCATTCTTCTCATGGGAATCTGCCATAACAGTAAGTTTGCAACTTGCACACCTATGAAATAAAGATTATTTAAGTCTGGGTTTGAATACAAAATCTCCAGTTATAAGTTAACTCACTCACCTACATCTCACTTGTACAGCATATCTGGTTGGTATGCTGCAAACAGATTTCGCAAGCGTCAGTGTCGATTTCATAATTTAGCCGGCGCATGTCAGTTATATCATTGCTTTCGCCAACACTCACTTCGCCTCGTATCAAATTTCTATGAATGACATTTTAAATAGTGCAGCATCATTGGAAATTGTAAATGCTTCGTTTAATACATTCCATAATAAAATACTTATTGATAATTCATTTCTTTGTGAAAAGACAGGTTGTATGGATGTTACATGTACAAAGTAAGTATAGTTTCACTGTGTCCGGCTAAACATTAGGCGTACAAGCATATTCGTTTCTCCGTCGGTCGACTTCAATGTTCGGAACATTCCATCCTTATGTCGTTGATATACCACCCATTCGCACTAAGCGCTTAGCTTAGGCAAAGGAATTGAATACTATCTGTAATATCTGTGTTTTTCCCGAAACGTACAATATGGGGCTATTCAAGGCTAGACTAAATAGGCATTTTTAGGCAAACGCGTACCATCGTCGGTCACATCGTCGCTTAACATCAGGTGAGATTGTGGTCAAGCGTGTGCCCATTATTTATAAAAAAATATTCAACGTATATTTATACATTTAATCACATGCACTTCAACAGACTAAACCAAGTGTACCATGTTTTTTGATTGGATAATAATTGAAAAATGTTAACTATACGTCAAAATACAAAGTCTGCTGATATTGTGAAGTACATACGGGTGAAAGGCAATGGTACCCTGAGGGTGGAGCTGTTGGGATGCCGCCACAATGTGAATTTTAATTCATTTGTGGTGAGAATACCAACTCAACATCTGGCGACCTTCATGAAGGATGAGTTTTGGCCGAAGGGTGTCATATATCGACGTTTCCGAGGCCGGCTATCGGACACCCACGTTGCGTCATACGTCACAGACTATACGTGTAAATATTAATTAGTCGTTAGTGTTTGATTATATTGTTATGTACGTTAGTCTATAAGGTATGTATTTATGGGTCTTAGTAACCTGAATACGAATAAATATATAAAATAAATAAAAATAATAATAATTATAATAATAAGTTACAGAGACAGATGGCACTACGGCAAAAAGTTGTTAAAAATCAAAAACAAAGATCCAACAAGCACAGAAAAATTCATAAAGTCTGCTCGTTCGTTACGTGGTTTAATTGCCAGAGCATCTAGCATGGACTGCCTGAGGGTACTGGTTCGAATCCAGCCTAATCGAATGAGTCTTTTTGAGTGTTTTGATCTTTGTTGTAATAATTATAATTATAAAAAATTAGTGGAGTAATTTCATTAAAAAAAAATTTAATGGTACTAGAACATCGTGTTCATATTCAATAAACTTAAAAATTACAATTCGAAGAACATCAAAATAAACAAGTAAACGTCAACAATAATACAATGCAATTAAAGATTTATCATTTGAAAATTCGGACACTGTGTAATAGTACTTTTTATTATACACAATAAGTTGTACAATTGTTTTTAAAATTAAAACCTTAATTGTAGAGCAAGGGTCTCCTCTACGAAATTTAAGCCCACGTTAGACCAATGCGGTATCTGGTCCAAGGCTGCCACATTGGTGGCGCAATAAGTAAATGAACTTGATAGTTCAGAGTGAATATTTTTATTAATAATACCTACAGAACTACCTTAGTGGTAGCCTAATGAGAGAACGGTTGTTTCTCAATTGAGAGGTTCACGATTCGAATCCCTGAGCTGGCATGTACCTATTAAGCGCGATATAAAATCTTCTTCTTCTACATTGACTTATAAATAAATGGACGACGGGTCTAATACAAAAACCACGAAAAAATGTCCCAAGTCAACCTATTTAAACGTAGTGTAAAGGAATATGAAAAAGCTAAAACGTTGAATTTAAATTGTAATGTCATCGCAGTACTGTCTAATTTTGCTTGCTTCGCTGTCAGTCGAACAAACGAAGACTAAAGCGTGAATGACGCTCTGTATACGATTTTAACGCCCTATAAGTTCGGACACTTTTTAGCGCGAACCGGACGTCCATATAATTGTAAGTCAATGTTCTTCTATAAAAAAAATACTCGGTCCGTGTTAAAAATTTGCCATTTACAAGATTTGAAACTAAAGTGAAACAAAAACTTTACACGAAACGTTGTTAAACAGCTTCTGCGTATTTGAAACGATGTTTGACATAAATATTATAAATGATAAATGTATACAAAATGTTTATTTAGAAAGAGCAACCCTTTGAGTTTCTTGCTCATTCTTCTCAGGGGGCTCGTTCTTGGTCATTCTGCTGTACGAAGCAGTAGAGTTTAATTAATATGACAATTTCAAGTGTAATTTGCTTATCTATGAAATAAAGATTATTTGACCTTAACTCTAACTTAAGGAGGTAAGGTCAGTAAGTATGTTATTTTTATGTACTGTAGACATACTAACAATGTTTTTTTTTCGAAAGACAACCCATATGAGGATGAAAAAGGGTAAAAATATCTGTATGAGAAATAATATTCCTTGAACTTACAAAGATGAAACTTAATACAAATATTTCATAATGCAAATGGTAAAAGACTGACATGACATTTTTACAAAAATACTTCTAAATAGGGTTAAAATGGGGTATCAAAGTTTGTATGGGGACTTTTTAACGCGTGGTGCGATTTATTTCAAACTTAGTTTGTGTTCTGTAAATATGAAATAAATAAACACGTTTCAGGATTTTTCAAAACAACCCCTAAATAGAAGTAAATTAGGGTGTCAATATGAGAACTACTTGTGTAAACAACTTTCACATGGGATTTATCAACTTGTCCCAGGGTGACGGACGCAGTGGCAGTGTCTGTCAGATATTTGCGATTTGTAGCTATGAATACTGCTATGGACAGACGTGTCGCTTAACACCAGGCGCACGACTTGTTCGTCTCGTTACAAAGTAACCTATAAAAAAAAACTTACGCCGGAGAAGTCGCTGTTGGTCGCGCGAACAACAGCCAGTCACTATTATTGGTTATGTTTATTATATAAGTACATGTTAAGTATGTTCATGCTACATTATGTTTATTTTACACCGTATAAATTAACCATAAAATTTTGCTTTGTGATTTTTATTTCATTTTTTTCTGGTTTAAGTGTAGCACCAACCTTTTGGTTTTTTTTCTGTTTGGAACTATGGTTGACTGGTAGAGAATGCCTTATGACATAAAGTCTGCCATTTGTACATTATTGCATTGTACAAAAAGATTAAATTGAAATGCCTAAGCATCTTCGGCGACCTTGGCGACCCAACGGTTTACTCTGTGGACGCCAGACGAGAAGGTCCTGGGTTCGATTTGGGAATGAACTTTCTAAATTGATACTTGTGTGGGTGTTCTGGGAAGTGTTCCGGAGTGATTTCTGTTAATCTGACACCAGATAATTGGTCTCGACCGATTGGCACATTATCATTATCCCGCGCCTCATAAAATACTTCTTTCACACACGTCATACATAAACTTTGTCGTTTCCTGCTTTGTCAGATTTTCAACAGAAATCCCAAAGCATTTTTGTAAACAAATAATGAAGTCATTCAAGTAAGTATGTTTATAAAATAGGCGTGCGAAATGCGGTCGTCGGCTTTCCCAAAGTCGCCTTTTGTTTTTGGCTACAATAATAATGGCTTTGGTTACCTTATGTGTTACAGTTGTAACGGCACTTTAATGTTTGTTTTGTGAATTACCATTGAATACCCACATCTTTTGTTCGATTCATTAATCATTATTTTCCATTCAAGTGCAAAATTTGGTAATTAACGCTTGTTAACTACACTAACGAATAACTCACGTATTTAAGCGTGAAACATACTGAAAGCGATGCGGATGTTAGAGATCCCCCACAATAGCGTCTTTCGAGCGTCAGCGTCTTGTCAACGCACGCAGTTCAGTTTTTACAAGCTTATTTGATTAAATAAGGTGTTTTAAAGAAAAACAATATTTTGTTTACTTTATTTGAACTTACACTTAAGTACCATGCATTTTTTAAACTTTTTGCTTAAATGCACGATTCTCAAATATTTTTCTTTTATGTTATTTACATTTTTAATCTGGAATTCCATCACAAAGTATAGGGTCGTAGTGTGACAATAATCTATTAAATAATATGTACATACATGATTCCCAAAAGCTCCAACCAACTACATATTTTTCAAACCAATTAAATATTTTTTAAAAAGCATGACTCTGGGGAAAACCATCACTATATTAAAGGTTAAAATTAATAAATATTAACGATGAAGGAAAGTTCTGTTTCCTTCCCTGATATCTTCGAAGAACGATCTGAACATAGTGAAATTCTAAAGGTTGCTTTTTTAAATATACATTTGAATACATTTAAAATCTTTGTAAATGCCAAGTTTTGAATATCAACACGAATTTTATTATAGAAGCTTATATACATTGCCCCTTACATAAATTTGTGACTTTGTGAAGGCGATCGTCAAAAATTGCTAATTTATTTTTATTCCTCGTGTTAATGTTATGTATGTCACTATTTTTATTAAAAAAAAAATATTCTTCTTAACATAAATAACATTTTCGTAAATGTACTCTGACGGTAGTGTAAGAATATTAATCTCTTTAAACTGAATCTAATTATACTTACTATCAATGTCTAAACTTAACTTTCTCCTTTACAGCGGCGGTCAACAACGACGCGTATCATTCGCAGTAGCTTTAATGCACGACCCGGAGCTTCTAATCCTGGACGAACCAACGGTGGGCGTGGACCCGCTATTGCGCCAGTCCATCTGGACGCATCTAGTGAGGATCACCAGTTCGGGAGACAAGACTGTCATAATCACCACGCATTATATTGAAGAAGCTCGACAAGCGCACAGTGTAAGTCTGCATTTACACTGTAAGAAAAATTATACGAGCGCCTTAGACGTGGATTTTTTGCAGAATACAGTATTTTCTAGATCTGGAAATTTTTAAGGTTAGATTATATAGGATTCTTCGGGAAAATGCTACCGTCCTCGTCCTCATCTTCCCTTTTCAGCACGTGAACAAACGTGAATCGTCCGTCATGTCGAAGATTTACCTCGTGGAATGCCGTTCTACATTACGTCATCCACCTCATGGTGGCATCCATCACCTATCTTTATTCTATCAATTCGATTTGATCTGACAATTTCGCCACTTTAACTGTTTAGTTCTTAACGTCGGCGACTCTACAGATCTCTACATTTAGCATTGTCAGAGAAAAAATCGAGGCATTAGTTGAGTGGGGTCAGTCTACTACTAAAGCAAACTAAATAATTTTGTTGCACAACTTCCTGACATAGCACTTACGATAACTAACACTAAAATTACTTCTCAGATCGGTCTAATGCGCAGCGGGCGTCTCCTAGCCGAAGAATCTCCCCAAGCCCTTCTCACAATGTACAACTGCATTTCTCTCGAGGACGTCTTCCTGAAGCTCTCCAGGAAACAAGGGCAATCTAATGGTACGTGTTATTGTATTATTAGCTACAGTTTTGTAATATTAACATTCCGGATATTACACACAAACATCACCTCCACGTCTCATCATCTCAAGAGAGTCTATTGTGATTGACAAGTGACCACCAAACTTAATTACTGGTTTAATGAAATGATAAATGTAAATGTAGTTGTATAAGTCACACTAAAAATAATAAATAAAGTTTAAAAGTGTAAGGCTAAAGTTTGCCTACTTTATACGATCTATAATTAAGTTTAGGTTTCAGACTTAACTTTTTGAAACACGGGAACCATATTTTTATAAGTTATCTCTTTATACTCTCGGGATTTCGGTAAGTTTCAATTAGTGCAGGGTGCGAAATGATCTTATTGTTTAATTTTAAATTCGGGACTTAATCGTGTATAAATGATTTGATTTGAAAAATCAAATAATGTGTGAAAATCATTAGTTAGTGACATGATCTTATATAGCTTGTGCGAGACTGTTATGTTTTCACACTGTGCAATTTCCGTAAAAAATGTTTTAGCTGGTTTTTGTAGCGGTAAATCTTGGAGGTGGGCGTTAAATGTAATTTGAACGTCTATGTTTTAGCAATGCATTACTTTACGCTAAATTTTTTAGTATTTTGTTGCGAATGGCAACCTTAAAATTGGAATCATGTGTGTGTTAATTGTTTTTTGAACATTGCAAGCTGCAGGACAATATTAGCGGCGCTGTCAAACACTACACCATTTCACTGCGCTACAGAACATCTTGTCTCCCACCAGAATTTTCCTGTACTAAACTCTACGTCTAATGCACTAAACGATAATTTTTTTTTATATTCTTATTTCCGTATCGATACATACTTGGTAATCAATATTATTCATTAGCTGGTTGCGAAGTTAAAAAGACAAAAAACTGTTTATGAAAATGTTTTAAATGTGGGAACCGCGTTCTTGGAGTATTGTTATTTACCTACATGCTAGTAATTGCATCGTGGCTTTGTCGTCAACACATGATATTTTTAAATATTTTGTATACGATGCCTTTACATAAAGAATATAGTGTAATGCTAAATATAAATTTAGTGTGGCGCTTGGTTATTTTTCGCGTCTAATTAAGTTAAAAAATATATTTAATTTGTGGAAAAATTCACGTGGCTTTTAAACGTGATTGCTTAGTTTCAATTTCTTACTATATATGAATGTTTAATTAACTAGAATGATATGTGAATCATATACAGATATGTAAATTTTCATGGATAAATCCAAAAATTGGCAGCGACGGTTTCCCAGGTAATAAATTGCTTGACTGCGCGTCGACAAACTAATCTCACAAGTTTATTAACCTTAATAGGAATGAATGAACTGAAGATATATATATATATATATATATATATATATAGTACACAAAATATATAATAAATCAGCTCTTAAAGTCGTATAATAATGGTTAACAGATGGTTTTCCCAGCAAAGGCGAGTATTACGTCTTTCGTGATTCATAAACTAGTTTGTAATTTTTTCATTCCTCTTTCTGAATAGTATCTCTCCATTTCAAAAGACGTGATAGGTAGGCAGGTTTGCAATCGAAGTTAACTACTACACGCTTTTTGATAACTAACTCACGGCTACCATAGAATATAGTACAAATCTACTTGTAATCCTCTCACAAGAGCTAGAGCTCTTGAGAATTTCTCCAGGGAATTACTGCCACCTTACCTATTTCTGTCGCCAAGCAGTAGTATGAGCATTGCTGCATTCCAGTTTTAAGGCGTAAAAGGTGCTGGTGAATTTACAGGCACATGGGACTTGTTTAGTTCCTATTAAGATTAAATATGATAACTGGAATAAATTAACATTAGCGGGCAGCCAAAAGAAACCTGTTTGTTTATACAACAATAAGGAAAAGGTCTCAGGGTGACGGGGATCATTGCTATTTAAAGTTCTGAATGACACTTGCAACAGCCATGGACAGGCGTGTCGCTTACCACCAGGCACATGACTTGATTGTCCCAGCACTTGGTATCACAAATATATGATATAAATAAATGTTACCTAACTAAAGAAACCTAAGGCAAATGTTACAAAACGGTACCTACTTATTTTAGTCTAAAACTTGGTAGTATGTCCATCAATTCAGCATTAATTAATGTCCTGAAACATTAATTAAATCACTTCTTCTTGTGGTTACTCTTCTATCTATTATTTAACTGCCTGCGAATGGTTACCATGACTGCCACGCAGAGGATCCAGGTTCGATTCCCGGGCCGGGAGTAATATTTGTATGGCCTACATTTATTTCTCTCATGAGTTTGGGTGTAATTTGTGGTTGTTTATGTGTGTGTCCATGGCATCCGCGACACAGGGTTTCCCTAGTGCGGGGCTATGTTAAGTGGGTATGCGTTATATTTCTATTGGAGGTTGCACAACATCATGGCAATCGTAATGGTACTGCAGTGGAGCCATTCCTGTAACCAAGAGTGGTGCCTTGAGCAGACTTTTAGTTATCCAGTGATTTTGCTCTAAATGATCATCATCCTATTTAATAGCCAGACGCTTGTCGGTATAGTCACAGATAACATAGCCAGCTCCTTGACCTCTTTATATAGCTGCTCACTTTAATCTTCTTCTTCGTCCTTTCTTTCTTTTCGCTTCTATGTTCCTCTCAAATATGACTCTCACAAATTCGTCATTACGTAACAAATATCCAAATATTTTCGCTCTATTGTACCTATACATTTCTGTACTCTATTGTATTCAGACAATTTCTTTCTTTTCAAAACTGGATGATAAGCTGGAGTGATTTGAACTTATTCTTTATTAAATCACAGGCAAAAAAATTGTCTCTTACCTTGGGTCCTACAAAGGAAGATGGACCCAGAACAGCGCCTTGTGTAGATCAACTATTGGATCAATATTATAAGAAGGCAAACAGACCGCTAGCAAAATACACAAAGACACCTCGATTGGCCAATCCAGTTGTAATCACGACCTTTGCCCTTGCGTGTTGAACAAGAAACAATGCAAGGTTGCACAAATGATCCAAAGACATGAGCATGCTCCGGTGAGGAAACGTCACCTTGTAACGATATAAGTGCCCGAAATAAATAAATTCAATGAGGATGTTCCAAATGTTAATAGGACCAGTTTTAATTTACAGGTCAACGTACCCATTTTGACTGAAAAGTCATTGATGTTTTGTATACGGTATCATGTATGTACGCCATACATCTTACTGTTACTCATGCGTCTTCTGTTCGGATTTATGGGCATAGTGAAGAGAAATAACTATAATATAATAAACAACTGGTACAACAGTAATAGTTAAATATATGAAAAGAGAGACGACTCTTGCTTCCTCTTATGATAGGTGTTCTAGGACCCTTGGTGCTATGGAGACGTTCAAAAGCACCACGTAACGAAATTGTAGAGAGACAAATAGATAACAAGCCATAAAAGTAGCCTTGCGCTGAATTTTTATCAAATACGCCGCAAAATATCACTCCGAACGTTGAAATAAAACTTTTACCAGTTTGAAAGTGTTCATAAGTTTGGTTACATTAACTGTATAAATCATAACAGCGATGACTTTACGTTACAGATTTACTGAAAGATGTGAATAAGTTTATGAAACAATTCATGGAAATAAATTCACGAAACGTAGTCATTGCGCCCTGCACATCATTATGTTAGGGAAACAGAAATCAGCTGCAGATACATTCATTATGCTTCTCATCACAAAACCGCATAATGTTATAAATAATTACATGAGACGTATAATGGTTTAACTATGACGATGACGTATAACAATAGTTCAATAAAGAAAACCGACTTTAAAAGTTCGTACCTGTATTTGCCAATTTTTATTGAAATCGGTTTACGGAAAGTGGACTTAAATCCAATAAACCGGATTCATTCCCTAATTTGCTAACTTTACATATGGAAGATTATTAACCACTATCGAGATACCCCTCACCTCACCTCAGATACCTTTCCAACAAAAAAGAATCATCAAAGTCGGAGTAATCGCGTATCACAAACCCAAAAAAATACAGTCGAATTAAAAACCTTCTCCTTTTTTTGAAGTCGGTTAAAAACGAAACGACGTGGAGCGACCGAAAAAGGCTGTCGACGAGCAAGACTCATTTCGTTAGAAATACGTAATGACGTACGTTACAATGGTAAAACCACAAAATACGTCACTTCCTAACAGTTAAGCCAACAAATTAATAAACAGAGTTAATCTTTAAAGTAATATTTAACCAGAACTGGAAAGAGAACTTTGATACCTTTAACCGTTGACTCATTGCTAATTTACTTAGGTAGGTATTATAATTTTAAAAAATCAGCATGTCATGGTTTGAAATTCATAGAATTCTTGTTATTCGAAGAAACACAATGAAAAAGTCCTTCAATCCGGCTGGATAGCCACGGTTTGCAAACAGTGGCTAGTTCGTATCAAGCCGATAAATGTTTAAAGAATTCTTTATTTCCGGTTTTACAAAACGATGTGTCAAGTGGTTATGAACAGGACCTCAGATCTCCTCTTACATTGTGTCGTAGAAAGAAACTACGAAGAAGAAGTAGTAGGTATATATTTCTCTTCCTAGTAGTAGATATAAAAATTCTTCAATTTTGCACTATCTGATTTATCTACGAACAACGGCAACACTGCAGAATCAACTCTACGCCACTGAAAGAACTAACCAAAGTCCTAAAGTTAGCGTTGTTGTAGCGTTTAAATGTTAGCGTTCTGTTAACTGATGTTGGCTTATCTATATATGAAGAGTCTATCAAATGGCTTTGGTTATTGGTATTTGGTTTATGGTATTTTTTTTATATCAACTGAACTAAATAGACCACGTATACCGTACGATATATATTTTTCAAATGGCTTTAATCTTAGAATAATAACGCATTGAAACCTAGTCCGCACACGCTAAGTGAGGCAAATTGAAGCGCTCCCAATGGGCCTACATGAGCGGGCGGGTTTCAGCGCTCAAGGTCAACTTGCACCGCGAACAGCTCAAGAATTTTAGCTAAAAATGACGAAAGGTGCGGTAAATGAGTGTAAAAATATGTCGGACAAACATAAAATAGATACTAACATCACATTCCACAAGGAAGTAACGCGTTTCAACTTGTATTTTTATATAAATATTCACTAAAACCGAAAATTAACCTACTACTAAAACTAGCCTACATGAATTTGATTTTTGCCTCACTTGTGACAGTTCGTTGGATATGAAACTATCATTCTATGCGTTATTATTCTAAGGCTTTAATTATGTTTGTAAAAAAATAAACTCTCCGCTCGACCCAAGCAAAATGAACCGTATTAATACGGGAAAAAATTGAATTCGAGCTGAGATAGTAGATAGTATCGACTCTGAAGGATGGATATTTGAATACGCCTTCTATTCAATACATTCTACTAAGTTGGAGAACAAATTTCTTTTGAAAATACCTACTACTACGTACTAATAGATATCGGCTTAGAATAGATACGTTATCGGCTTATTTGCTGCTGTACATAAGCCTCCCCCTGAACACACCAACTCTCTCCCTGTCCTGATTGGGCCGCCAGCATCTAACCTCTGCCGGGCATCCTTCTCAGGTCATCCGTCATTCTTGTCGCAGGTCGTGGTACTAGTACAAATCTGTTCCATCGACCATCAGCCTTTCTGCAGACATGTTCGGCCCGCTGCCACTTCGCTTACTAGTTTTGCTAGCTATGTCGGTTTCTTTAGTTCTCTGACGTATGACTTCATTAGGAATTCTGAAGTACTGCCATCGCACCATTTGTCAACGTATGTCACAGGGTGACGGGCGCAGTGGTGGTGAGATTTTTTCCTTTATTTTTTCCATCCTCTAAGGATTTTTGCGATTTAAACCTCTGAGTGGCACAGCAACTGTCATGGATAGGCGTGTCGCTTACCGCCAGGCGCGCGACTTGTACATCCCGGCATTTGGTATCGTAAAAAAGACCCCCAAGCATAGCTCATGATTATGAAAATTAGCGTCGTAGCACACGCAGTGAGACGACACCAAGCTGAATGGGCACAGCATGCACATTTTATGGCTTATCGCTTAATTATTTATTGTTATAGTTATTTGCTTCCAATTTGTGTGTTATTTAAGTGTATTATCTAATTGTTATGCTTTTCCCCCTTTTTGATTTCGATTTTTTTATGTTACTTATAAATGTTGTAATTTTTAAATTTCGCGCTCCATTGCACTTTTTTTATTTTGGCAATTTGATTTTGTGTACTTTTACCTATATACTACTTTAAATAAATTGTTAATATTCATACGTCACTAAATAGATCGTTCAAAACCAATGACTCATTGCAATATGGCAATATCTTTACTTCGTAGTGAGACGTGGAAACACGAGATCTTTATGTATATATGTAAATACAAGGATTATTATATATTACAAATAGGTCATTGATTAGTAACAAGCTGACTAGAGATTTCCTTATGTAAAGCGATTTGACCGTATAACAATATCAGGTGCAGCAAAAAGGCCAGCTTACATTTTAATTTACTAATATTTGAAACCCGGAATAAACGCATTTATACAACGCGTTTTTTCGACGTTTCGGCCAGGTTGCACTGCGCCACTGGAGCCCGGCCGAAATGTTCACGCACATTTATTCCCGGTTTCAAATATTAACAAAGCAATGTGAAGGTTTTGAAAGTGTACATTTTAATTTAGTTCCACCCTCACCGTTCCTCCTTAGGTCGATTAGAAAGTCCTCAGCACTCTATGCTTATGTTGTTGATATACTTACCATCCGCACAAAGAGCTTTGCTTCCTCTTTCTAACGCAAAGGAGTACGTACATTACCGGAATATGTGTTTGCCGAAAACTATAATTTAGGGCTATTCAAGCTTAGAGTGAACAGGTATTGTTTAAATGTTGTTGTCGTACGAAAACATTTCAAAAATATTATTCATTAAGAAGAATAATTCGCGAAAATGAATTGTGTGTTATTTTATTTCTTTTATAATTATGTCAGCTTTTGCACCTGCATAAGCACGTACACCCTATCTTATTATACATACAGGATCACAGTGTTTTGTAGTTTAAAAACACTGGGCCTTTTTTATTTTATTGATTGTGTGGACCATATTACTTTTGTTATGAAGCTAGAATATTACGACGTAAATGGCAAGAACTTGTCTCGTCATACCTTAACGGTAGAATTCAGAAAGTAGTCATAAATGGTGTGACTTCCTTGGGTTCTCCGGTAAAAATGGGTGTTCCGCAGGGCTCAATACTTGGACCGTTCTAATTTCTCATTTATATTAATGATCTACCATTCTTTGTTAAGGACCTTTGCGACATAGTATTGTTTGCTGACGACACATCCTTGATTTTTTAACAGACAGACATCACATAAACTATGATAATATTAACGATACCCTTTCAAAGGTAGTTTATTGATTGAATGTTAACAATTTATTGCTCAATGATAAGAAGACAAAGTGTGTTAAGTTTGAATTACCTAATGCAAAATCGACTAGTCCAATCATAGAAATAAATGGAGAAAAGTTAGACTTTGTTAAGAAACATGTCTTTTTGAGAGTGACCTTAGATAGTAAACTTCAATGGTTTCCATATAATATCTTCCTTAGCCAGCAGAACTGTATACGTTTTTACAATAAGATTCCGGAAAATATATTAAGATTATCATTACCTAAGTTTAAAACTTACATTAAAAGTATTTTAATTGAAATGTCATATCACAAAATTGAAGAGTACATTTTAGATAAAGAAGTATGGACAAGACAACAAGAGTCTAGATTCCACGCAATTATGATTCAAAGTGTATTCCATAGCATTTAAGTTTATTTGACAAGAGCAATCCCTAGAGTTTCTTGCTCGTTCTTCTCAGGGAGGTCAGCGTAGCGAACGAGCAGTAGCTTAAAAACGGCGTTTTCAAGTATAAAAATTTTACCTCTGGAATAAATGATTATTTGACTTTGACTTGTACATTACATTATATTATATTATTTTATGTGAAAATACTCCAATCTGTTTATTTAGCTCTGTTGGTAAGAGCGGTGGCCCCGGTGTGGCACCAGAAGGTGGTTCTAGTCCAGTCAGATAGAAGGAATTTTTCTTTGTGAAGTTCGATATTTGTATCCTCTGTATCTTCCAGTGAATCTTAATAAGTTGCTTGTGGGCCCTGAAATGGTGAGAGAGAAGAACATTGACATTTGACCTCAATATTCCTGGATAAATAAGTTCTTAAAAATTCTGCAATATCTCACGGTTCAATTATTATTGTCCAATTAATTGTATATTGAAATTAAAATTCCAGGTCAAGCAAATCAAGTAGTAGAACTAAACGTGACTGGAGGAGCGCTCGGACTGAATAAGATGTCGAAGCGCGAGGAGGCGCCGTACGCGGCCGAGGACGCCCAAGTCGTCGGCCTGAACTTCCACCAAAGCAAGGAGGTGCTCATTGTGGACCATAACGGCGCTGGCAGTAATGGAGACGTGAGTTATGGTTCCTTGAGAAGTTTTAAGAATTTAAGGAACTTGAACGATTTTTCCTTCTCATCAAGTTTTGGTTACAACACAAAACATATTTTCTTCTATTTCAGTACTGAATGTAAGACATCAGTGAATGTACTGTGGTATAGAGAACACTGCTAGTCTTTTCATCTTATAAGAAACCGCACAAACGTGGTCTTCCGTTGGATACAAGGCACACGTTTGTGCGGTGGCTAAAACCCCGAATATAAAGCCTCTTGTCTGGGAGATTCCCAGTTATTTGAGACTGTTTATTTTCGAGATTATAATTACAATATATTTACAATTTTTTACATAATAATTACCCACATTTGCCCTCACATTTTCTTCTTCTATTTATATAAGTTTCAAGAATAAATTAAAGCTTTTTAAAATAATCCAATTCAGAAAATTGACAAATTCCTAGAACTGAGTCTGAAGGAAGACCGAATTTTTATAATTATTTGAAGGATTTCTAAAATAATTTATCTTTGATTTTTAAGACTGAATTATATTACGCATATTATTATTTTCATGCATTTATGGTTTTGATATTATTGCCGTTTTTTTTAAATGACATTTTTTCGTTAATTAATTTTGACTGTTTTTTATTTCATGAAATAGTAATAGGTGATAAGGTGTTTTCGTCATTTCTGACTTGCCAAGTGTGACAATTTTTTGTAACAAGGCATATAAATTAATTAAATAGCAAACTTAACCTGAATTTAATCGCTATTTACTAAGGGTATATGTGATTTTGTTGGTTCCAGCTCCCTGGAAAGGTGACCGGTGCAGTAACTAGCGAATGTGAGGACTGTGGAGACTGCTTCAATGTGAGTATATTTTTGTTATCCTTTTCGGTATTATGTGAACTTGAATCAAATGGCCAATACCACGGTTTTTGTTTTACCTCATACACTGTCATTTTCTGCAAAATAAGTACCAATACAGTTCAATTACAGCTTCAAATATATTTTGTTATTTTCACACAAATCGTGTATCACTTATTCTATATTTTTGGTCAATATGATTAGAATCTATCTAACAACTACGATATTTCAATTCTAGCTGACATCCCGAGGCAAGATAAAGGCATTGATCCAGAAGAATTTCCTCCGAATGTGGCGTAACATCGGCGTTATGCTCTTCATCTTCGTGCTGCCTGTAATGCAAGTCATTCTTTTCTGTATGGCCATTGGCAGGGATCCCGTTGGACTTAAATTAGTAAGTGTATTTGTAAAAGTAAAATAAAATAAGGGAGAAAAAAAATAAGTTCATGTCTAGCTTATAAAAGAGACAATGGAACGATGAACATGCAAAGAGCGCGCAACCATTGTTTTGTTTGTTTAATAACAAAATAATAACAAATTTTGTTATAAGAACTCGATATTTTGAAGTATTTCCTGACCAACTATTACCTACTGCTGAACCAAAAAAGAAATCGATGGAACCAAATTGTTAAATGTTGATAACTGTGATTCCGAGTCTGATTAAGAAGATCAACTCAATTTTAGTTATGTGGAAGAACTAGAATATAAAACATCGGTTCTTGAACAAAGACCATAATATCCTATTCCTTTCGTGCTTTACACTCTTTATACATAGATTAAATTTCATCGTTTTCTCAATCTTTTAATCTTACACCTATTATTCATCTATTAATACTATTTAATTGTGTTCTTTCCAGGCAATCGTTAACAACGACGTAACCATCCTCGACGGCTACTGTCCCTACAATCAGTCCTGTTCAATGAAGAATCTCTCCTGTCGATATCTTGACCATCTCAGGAATAATTCCATAATCAAAGAATACTATGCCGATTTGACATCAGCACTTAACGCTGTCAAAGAGGGAGATGCTTGGGGAGCCCTGTATTTTAATGAGAATTATACGGACTCTCTTTTTGCGAGATTGGCTTTAGGCAAGTATTACACTTACCTATATTTTGTTTAAAGAGTTACTTTTTGTATAGTATCAATAATACAGAACAGAAGTCCTTCATTTTGAAATGCAATTCACAAATATTATAGCAATAGACTTTTATAAGGCTTTTGACAGAGTATCTTTCAACTATTAACACAAACACTGAGATATGTCGTACCGAATAGAGGCGCTGATATGGCAGTTAACGTGGTCTCTACTAGGGATCTTCTTAAACAGATCTATGTTTCTCTTATGGAGTCTATTATTACATACTGCATTCCGGTCTGGGGTGGTGCAGCTAAGTCAAAATTTATTGAAATAGAACGAGCTCAACGTGGTTTGATCAAAATGATGTATTTTAAAAAAAGAATTTACTCCACAGAAAAATTGTATAAACTGACAAAGCTGACTTCTGTTAGAAAACTCTATATACTCTACACAGTAATAAAACAACATAAAAATTTACTATATAAACCTAGGGTTACAGGTAGAAGAACATGTTATAAAATTGCATTAGTACCAAAAATAAAAACTACTGCGGCTAGTAGACAGTACAAATACAGGGCCTCATATCTGTATAACACTCTTAACAAAGAACTTGATATATACAACAAAATAGTTTATGACTGCAAATTAGCCATTACAAAATGGCTCGAAACTAAGTCGTATGAGGAGATTGAGCAATTACTACTAGTTTGAAATAAATAAATAAATATATAAATAAATAAGTAAACATAAAAGCGAGGTATTAGTTGATATAATATAATATATATAGTAATTAAATGAAATCAAAACTGAACAGAAATATGTGCGCTCACACACACACACACACACACACACACACACACACACACACACACACACACACACACAAACACTCATTCACACACACTTAATGCATATACATATACACGGACATGCACTCACACAAAGTAACACATACGTTAAATTAGTCTTAGTTTATTAAGGTTAATGTAAGAGCAATGTTTAATTATTAATTGTAAAGAAGAGCGATGTTTCCTAACACAGGCCTTATCAAGCTTAAAAGGAAACATCAGCCCCTGAATTATGCCATGTACAGTGAAGTAATAAAATATTTTTAATATTTTTATTTTTATTTTTTATTTTTTTATTTTACTATTTTTATTTTCCACAGCGGACACAGCCGACGATGAAACCATTGAATCTTCAGAAGTGCAAGTGTGGCTCGATATGTCCAATCAGCAAATCGGTCTTATGTTGAACAGAGATATATCGTTTTCATACAGGGACTTCGCGCAGGTACGTTCTTGGGGCCAGTTTTGTTCTTATTATACGGACGATTACGAATTAATTTATTCGATTGGGATACGTCCTGTGCACGGCCTATTGTGTCTTCATATTGCATTAGATAATTACAATAAACTCGGTTCCAAATTAGTGCCATAATAAAGAGTCATTTATGCTAATTTATGAACCTTTAGAAATTAAACAATTCTTATCGAGCAAAATATTTTTCTCGTTTTCAGGACTTACTGAAAAGTTGCGACTACAACCCGAAGATCGGCGACATACCCATCGACTTCATGGAGCCCATCTACGGCGACACCAACCCCTCGTTCACGGACTTCGTCGCTCCCGGCGTGATCCTGACGTGAGTTCCCCTCTGCACCGTCCGAGCGCGAGAGCGAAACCGCTTCTTCGCTTCTTCGCAGCCACTGCAGCAGCTAACTCGCTTTCCCGCCGCAGGATCGTGTTCTTCCTGGCCGTGGCGCTGACGTCGTCGGCGCTGATCGTGGAACGCACGGAGGGGCTGCTGGACCGGTCGTGGGTGGCCGGCGTGTCGCCCGGCGAGATCCTGTTCTCGCACGTCGTCACGCAGTTCGTGGTCATGTGCGGCCAGACGGCGCTGGTGCTCGTCTTCATGATCCTCGTGTTCGGCGTCAAGTGCAACGGGAACGTGGTCTTCGTCATCATGCTCACGCTCATGCAGGGTAAGTATCCGCCCGTCCCTTCCACCCGGCCCGGCCGCGACCGCGACTGAAGGGCATCCCTCATGCAGGGCTGTGCGGCATGTGCTTCGGCTTCGTGATCTCGGCCGCCTGCGAGCTGGAGCGCAACGCCATCCAGCTGGCGCTGGGCTCGTTCTACCCCACGCTGCTGCTCAGCGGCGTCATCTGGCCCATCGAGGGCATGCCCTGGGTGCTGCGCTACGTGTCGCTGTGCCTGCCGCTCACGCTGGCCACCACCTCGCTGCGGTCCATCCTCACCCGGGGCTGGCCGATCACGGACCCCGAGGTCTACATGGGCTTCGTGTCCACCGTCATCTGGATCGCGCTGTTCCTGGTCGTCACGATAACGATTTTAAGATTCAAACGAGGTTAACGCGTCGTCCCGTTTGGAATCTCTCGCTCAATCGACTTGTAGTCAAAATTCTGTAAGGTGACGGTGCCGACGATCGGAGGGTAGCTGTATATTTGATGGTACTTTTCTAAACTGGCGACGTCTTTCGAATAACCTTTTCCTTCCAAAAGTAGTTTCGCTAATGATCACGTTTCTTTCCGGAGTTGCTCGGGTTCAAATTGTAAGCGAACTTTTTTAAGTTTCGAACTCGGAACGCAGTTACCCTCGCCGAATGTAGATTATTCTAGAAACCTGTTTTTAATACCTGCCGTTTTCTGGGCAGAACCGGTTGTTTAGATTAGAATAGTAAAATTACTGATATTGATAAGACTTCTTTATGTCATAATGTTATTTAAATTTACACAAAGTCTTATTTTCATCAGTAAATTCAAAATATAGGTGAAATTACGTAAACGATACTTACTTTAGTTATGTGCACATCGATTCTTTTTATTGCTCAATCCAGATTAAAGTATATTCTAAGTACTTAAAGATGAATGACTGTAGTCGAAAGTATATAAATAGTAGTATTTATATAAAGTACATAATGTACTTATTAATTAAGGTATGGGGAGTGTTAGCAACTATGATTGGTCCAGCGCTTTTACGGTGTTTTTTCTCTGGTAGAGGAATTTTTAAATGTAAGGCTTTTTGAGATACCTGATTAAAAGAGTTACCATAGAGTAAGATGGTGCCATAGACAACAAATATTAAGTCCTTTTTTTTCAAATTTTGTACGTTTCTGTTTGTTTATTGATCAAATCTGACATTTTAAAGGCACCAATTTTTTCTGTGACAAATCACAAACTTGCGCCATCTTGAATTTTTTTTTATATAAGGGTGGACAATATTGTAGTTTTTAACAAAAATCTATATTTAAAAATCGAACAATATTACTTTATAATCGATGGGTTTTTAAAACTATTTTTTGACAGAAGTAGGTTTTAGACCAATTAGGAATGTACAGTAAGTTAGGTCATGTATTTTGGAAACTAGTTATTTAGGACTCGTGGACAACGTTAGACTTAAGTTTGTAATAATAATGGCGTATAAAACTTTAGATTTTCCTTGAAATCGGCCATGTTGAGGTTATCGCCGACTTTAAGAATACATCTAGTGTTTTACCACTTATATATATAGTTGTATAGAATAGAAGTGTCGACCGACTGTGATTATATTTGCTAACATTGACATGTTTTGTAATAAATGACAATTCTACAATAATACTGTACCAAATGAACTGCGTTTTTCTTTTACCAAAAAGTTACCTAGTTTATAGTTCGTCCAGGGAAGTACTGCCACCTTACCTATTTCTGAAGCATGTCAGCATATTGTGTTTTGGGTTTGGTGAGTAAGGGTGTTGGTGAAATTACAGACACATGGGACTATTGTCTACCTACGTATCAAACCTGACAGATAGCTTAGTTCCCGATACGAAAAGATGTATGAAAACAAACAAAAAGGGCTACGCGAGCTAACTTAATGCGGGGAGGTGGGAAAATTAATTGCATGAAAAAAATATTAAACACAAACGCAGCTATTTTATACGATTTAACCTTCACTGGTTTCGCGAATTAGCAAATTAATTTACTTAGATTTTTATTAACATTGTCTTCAAATCGATACCTCCAATGAACACTTCGTCAACTCAATTTTTGGACGGTTTTTGTTTTGTTTTTTTTTTCTTTATTTTTATTTTCACAAATTTAGTTTCTTGTTTCTTTTTCAATTTTTCGTTTTTTTTTCACAAAATTCGGAAAGTATAATGCTACTAAATAAATATGACTATTTACAAAAGTAACAGAAAATGACTAAAAAATAAAGTAAGGCATCGAAATGCTGAACTCGAAATTGTTCACAAAGTTTTTAAGTGATATTAATCTTTGATGGTAATAAAAAAAAAGGATTTTTGTAATAAATAAACAACGAGTTAATCTAAAATTAACAATAGTTTAATGCCACAAATATTAAAAACACAATTAACTAACAACTGCACACATCACATCTCTTCATCACATTGAAAGTTTTTAAAAGAAGGCTCAAAATATACTGGGTTTTTCCATTAAACATAATAAGAATCCAAGTAATGACAAATATAAGTAGAGCTGATATTCTTATAAGATACGGTCAACAGTTAGGCCAATAATTTAAGTTGTGTAAACATAACATTGAAATCACATAAAGATTGACTAATTACTTTTTGATTTTGAATTTAGATTTCATTCTGAAACATGACCGTTCTAACGAAACACGCCCACGAACACACTACAAACTGTCACTTATCGTTATTTGCAAATTAAAATTATATATCGCACCCGCAATAATAAAGTGACGTACTTAATTCAAAAAAATAACGTTTTTCTGCAAAAAGGTACAAATTAAAACTAACATATTCTGTCAAAATTTTATATTTTGCGAAACGGCAAATATGGCTGGTGCCACGTGAGTATTTTTTTCAAATTTGCCAATTTCCCCAAAAATAAATTGTTTTTTATTTTTTTAAGTTTTTTTAACTCTTACAATTAGGTCAATCTATTGTTGAGGGTGCAATACAGTACTTTTGAGTTACCTGTACTTACATTGCGAGCTTTACGCACTTTTAATTTCATGCGGGAATTAACCCAATTAAAATTCCTACAATATCGATTCAATATCGATTCGTGAATTATCGTATGTAAATAAAAGTAAATCGGGTCTTTGTTCAATAAATACGAATAATCATTATTATTTGAACTCGTGTGTCCATTAATTTGCTTTCTTCGAAAGAATTTCGCTGATGGCTTTCTTCTTCTTTTGACCTTTGTCGAACTTGCGTTTCTGAAATAAGAAAAAGAAATGTGTCTGCGATTTCTGATACGTTTAGTATTCCATGCGCTTTTGATCAGCATGAAGACTACTTGGGCTTTTTAAATTGATTGACACTGTTAAAGAAACAAGAGAATTAAAGTTATGCGGCAGCAAAGTAAGAAAATGTTTGCTTATTTGACATATTGAAACCGTCATGATGAAGGTTCAAAACAGTGGTGGAAAACGAAACGAAGTCCCCGAATTACGGCAGCGTCGATGACTATAGCCTATAAACCCTTTCTTAGAGGAAACATTGTAATGAAGATGTGCCTTCAAATTTAATTATTTTATTTAATAATTTAATTTAATATAGACGCAGGTCATAGTAACTTCCAGCACTTAAAAACGGTCTCTTAAGAACTAGGTCAGCTGACTATTAGCTTATATTCTCGCCCAGTAAAGTAGGTAATTTGGACACTTTCTATTTACCTTCTTTTTCTCCGCAGTCATACCAACAAACTCCTGCCGTGGTTTCTTCTCTTTGCCTGTATGAAAGTCCTTCGATTTCTTATTCGGTGGTCCCCCTACATCACTCTGCAAGACGAGAGAACTTTGTTAAACTTTCCGTTATTTTGCTGACCTTAAGGACATGTTGGGAATCTTAAACAATAGTGCTACTATTGGCTTTTGATAACAGAGTCTATCCAATTTGAAGCTAATAAATAAATGCATGTGAATTCAACCAAAGGTACAAACCTCCTCACGTGGTCGTTTATTCATAACTCGCCTGTACGCGCCTTGTTCTTTAAAATTAACATGTCTCTGTCCTTGGCCCATTTGGCCTTGATTTCTTTGGCCTTGTTGCATTTGACCCCGATTTCTATGACCTTGACCCATTTGATTCCTATTTCTTTGTCCCATTTGATTTTGTCCCTGATTTCTTTGTCCCCAATTTCTCTGTCCCTGGTTCCTCTGACCTTGTCCTTGATCTCTTTGACCGTGGTTTCTCAGTCCTTCATTTTTATGTCCTTGGCCTTTCTGTGTTAGTGTGCATCGTTGGACACGCAATATTCTGTTTTTAATTGTCAAATCTTCTTCAGTTAAAGCGAGAGCTAACTCTACACTGTCTTTTGTTTTAAAGTTTACAAAACCGAAACCTGGAATAATAATAAATTCAAATAGTCAATTAAACGAAACAGGCCCAAGAAGTCACAAAAACAAATTGGAGTCCCCTTTGCTGCCTTACAGATTTATCCATAACAAATTAACAATTTGGCCAATCTATAAACAGAATAAAACATGTATAAATATTAATAATAAGAAACATACCTTTCCCAACACTAGTCTGTTTATCCCTCACAATTCTGACGGACTCAATATCACCACAGCTCTCAAACTTGGCTCTAAGCCCTTCGTCTTCAATTGCGAATGGCAGGTTCCCAACGAACACGGACAGCTTCGGATCGTGAGTGAAGCCGGTGGTGTCGCTGCGAGACACTCGCAGGTGGTAGCCGTTTAGGACTGTGTTGTTTTCTGCTAACGCCTGGAATAGTGACAGGCGATTAGAATAGCACAGTCATCGGTTGTGGATGATTATAGCAGTGGCACATCGCTAACGCTGCCTTAAATGTGTAGCAGGGCCTACTCATACAAGATCAAGCTACTGTACCTCCTCAGGTACAAAAATGCCAAGTCCGCAAGCATCACTTTGTCTGCATTCAACTACCACCATTCTCACTAAAGTATGTACATCCAAAATCACTTTCTTGTTTGCTACTGGTTGATTTGGGTATCATTGCACCCTTTGTGCCTCAGCTGTGTTGCTATTACAAAATCGATCCCCAAAACATAATAAAAAAGAACTTGGCACCGAAAAATGATCAGTAGCAGTACAGCTCCTATTAGAGTTCAATCAGGAAAGTACTGCCGCAGTGCCTATTTCTGCCGCACAGCAGTAATGTGAGCACTACGGCATTCCGGTCTCGAAGGGTAAGTAAGCTGGTGAAATTAAGGCACATGGGACTTGTCAACTTATGTCCCAAGGTGTCGGGCGCAGTGGCGGTGCCCCTGAGAACTTTATGGTTTAAAGCTCTGAGTGTAACTGCAACTGTTAGGGAAAGGCGTGTCGCTAACCATCAGGCACACGACTTGTTTGTCATGTCACTTGTATTATTAAAATATATATAAGCAGTGTTATATACTGATGTAGTATGGACTAAGAAACTCTTCTAATCGAAAACTACACTAGGAACAGGTTTATGTATGTTGCATTATTTATCTTACACCTAGTGAACCTTTACAGCTTCAAGGTTGAACTGAGATATTGCAATATAACACCACCCTCAAAAGTACACATATCATTAATGGAAATGACACAACTATTATAGCTATGGTTTGATTGTAATTAACATCATCCACCATTAGGCCACACAGGTCTCCTTATGTCCATAGTCCAAAAATACCTTATGGTGACATTACTGCAGTTACCTTGTCAACAGACTGTGGGTTTGTGAACTTAATGTATAAGTTTACAGATGTCCTTTCTGGGTGCAGCTCCGACTTGATGACTGCCAGTTTAGGTGTCGTGCGCGCGTCCTTTACTGGGATGCCGCGGATTCTGTGGTTTGTGGGAAAAATGTGCCATTACAATGTTAGGTTAACATTAACTTAGAAATAAAATATTGAAGTCTTGAACAAAACTTATTCTTTTTGATGTCTAGAAAACAAAGGGCCGTAAAATTTTTAGAACATACTTGGTTAGTATTTTTCTATTTGGTAGGCACAGATACATTAGGAAGATATATTTATTTGATTGGTTTGTAAGACTTCTTTGTGTTACACTATGTTCTGTATGTCATATTGCACCACCATTCTACCTGTTAGATGAACGAGAAATCGTATTATGAAAAAAGACTTACCGGACATTCTCTATATGTCCATATTTACTAAACATCTTTTTAATTTCTTTCTTACATTTCTTACTGAACGGAACATTGCCTACAAACAAAGTCCTTTTAATGACTTCAGCATCATCAAAGTCCTTTTCAGCATTCTTCTCAGGTTTCTTCACTTCCTCATTTTCTTGTTCATCATCTGAAGAGGCGGGGCCAGTGTCTAAAATATCTTTATTGGTCTGCTCTGTATCTGAATTTATTTCGTCATCTGAATCGTGTTCCGAGTCTGTATCCATATTTGTTATTGCATTTGGATTCACCTTCAACTTTTTTTCTTTATTTGACATCAGTTGTTGACTCTGAGTATCAATGTTTTGGTTTTTCTTCAATTTCTTTTTACGTTTTTTATTTTTTTTCTTTGCAGGTGAATTTCCTGTGTTAACCAGAGTAGGTTCCTTTCCGTTTTGATCTTCATTTCCTACAACAATTTCTTGCGATCCAGATTTCTTTAGTTTTTTATTTTTCTTAAGACTTTTCTTGTCATTATCGTCAAGTTTCTTTAAAATTTCATTGTTATTGGATACTGATTTTTCAATATCCTGCAATTTACTTTTCTTTTTCTTAGGAGTATCATTTTCTGTACTCACTGTTGCAGTTTCATTACTTGCAACTTCGTTACACTCTGACTCTGACTTACGTTTACCTTTCTTAGGGCTTTTATTACCAATTTCAATGCTAACACTGGTCAAATTTTCCTTTTCATCAATTATTTCGCGTTCAGAAGGTAATGTAACGAAATTTCGTTGCTTCTTTTTCTTTTTAGGCGTGCTTTCGTTATTAACCTGCAATGTTTGACTTAATTTTTCGTCATTGTCATTTGTTTTAATTTCTTTTTTGTTCAACGCCAAATCTACATTATTCTTAGCCTTTTTAGGAGAATTCACTTTTCCAACATCATTGTTAGGCGTTGTATTCGCTTCTAAATCGTCTTTCAAATGCTTTTTAGCTTTGTCCGCTTTTGGACTGACTAAACTCGATTTACCTTCACCATCGTTCGTTATATCCAAGTCAGGGTTCTGAAAGATTCTTTTAGGTGATTTCTTCACTATAGCCTTCTTTTTCTGCAGAGTAGGGGATAGAAAAATTGACCTATCGTCGACTAACTCGCTTTTCGGAGTAACATTAGGAGAAGGTTGATGTTTTGTGGGTGTAAGAGCCCTTTTCACGAGTCTAGGCCTATTCGGAGTAGTATTCCCGGCTCCAGTTATTAAAGCTGCCACACTTCCCACTACGTAATCCATTTCGTTTTAAAAATTATTTACCTGTACTAACGATAACCGCAATACGCACATGGGTATTTTGAATAGAATATATTGTTTTGACGTAATAGGGATGTACTGTTGCTAATATGCGAACGCTGCTATTCTGGTAAAAATGATAAAACTAGTATTAGAAATAATTTGTATTTACAATAAGAAATAGGTAACAGGTTAGCCCAACAACTGTGATTTTTTTGTAAAACTGTATATTGTGTTTCGACAATATTCGGTAGGTATCATAGGCTAAGGCTGAAAAATTACAAAATACTGGCTCTTTCCTTTTTACCCGTATATTAGTATTACAAATTTGAGTAGTACTTTAAGTATAGCATGTTGTAATTAGTTATTAGTATATTTTCTATTAGGTACACACGCCAGCACATCAAGCTACACATTGACGTATCTTGTTCCGTTGCACTGGAGGCGATTTTCGTACAAAAATGTGTAGTCTGATTTACCTTTGTCCGTACCTATGTTAAATAAAAACTTATTTGTACATTTTATTTTACCTATATTCAGGACGAGGTAAAACTATTGCATCTCATTTCTATAAATGATAGTTCACAAAAAAAGCAATAGAAAATTTGCTAAATAAATACATTTCTACAGCAGAACCACATTGCTTTATTTCTGATTGAAGGATAGAAGAAACCAACGCATTCACACACATTACATATTTGCTATTAGATTTCATTGTTACTTGTCTAAATGAAAAAAAAAATTAGTATCGGTAACTTCTTCTTCTTTTAAATGTTATGGCTCCATCGAAATAATCAATGATTAGGCCAATGTCAAGTAAAAATAACTATGTACGGTAGTTTAATAATATTATAAAAATTATACAAAAAAATGGCGATTTCGCCAATGTCCTGTGAAGATCGAATCGGTAACATAAATTCTTGAGTAACTTAGTGTTGATTCGGTCCTTAGAGGATGGAAAAAAAAATCTAAGATTCGGTTGATCACATCACTATTGAATATATTTTGACATTTAATTTCATGACCTTGGATTGTAGATAATAATTGCCATCCATAATTAAAAATTTACCCTGGTAGTATTTAACGGAATAAAATTGTAGGTTATTTTATTTATAACAGTTTAATCAGTCTAAAAATAAATAGGGAAATGATTATGAAATTGTTACTAGCAACACTGAGATTGGAATAAAACGTTCTTGATAGTTTCAAGTTTTTAACTTTTGCCATATCGCTCATTTGGATGCATTGACACATTGACGTTTTGGCAAAATTAAATTAAAGTGTTGACACATCTGTAACATAAAAAGTGATTTCGTTTGAAGAAAAATCGGTAGTAATTTACAATTTATGAACATAAATTGTAAAACACGCAAAGTTTCTTCAAACGTCGTTTAAACGTATTTTAAAATAAAATTTAAAAATCGATTCATATCCATTTTCTGTAACATTACAAGAAATACAATTGCGTCAGTGTAGCACCAAATAAGCAATATATGAACGTTGTAATGTAAGTAAATATGTAGAGGTCTCGCTCTAGCTCTTGTGTAAATAAGGTATTTAAAAAATTCTGTTCAATGATATTTAAGTAATAATGTATTTGTTGTATTTGTTATGTATGTTGCTTTGCTTATTTTGAACGGAGAAACTATATTGCGTTTTTTGCAGTGTTTTGTGGCCTATAACACCAAAGATTAAACATATTTAAAGAATTGGAATTTTAATTCGGTGACAGGATAAATAAAACTGTGAGTAAATAAAACACAGTCAGCTTACACTTCGTCTGATTCATAAAACCTGTGCTATGAGCTTCTGATCTATCTACACTATCAATATTTATATCATTAATGTAAAATATGACTACAAATAATGAATAAAGTATCAAAAGAGTTTAATCCTATTAACCGGGAGGTATCAAGTTAAGATTGCCATAATAAATTCTTCTGTTTTTTTTCATAACTTTTATGTACCTAATGAGATGAAACTTAAAGCAATTATTATAGAGACAAACGTTATTATTCATATGAATAATAAGTGAGCTCTAATTGAATTTTCTGAATTTTGTTTGGTCTTCGCGTATAACATTTGAACGAACAAAAATGTTCAATACATGAAGATTTAGATTATATTTAGATTTAGCTTAAATTAAATTTTATAAATGAACCGATCTATCTAATTTACTAGTTTCTGAATTATTACTGACACCTATATGAATATAACAACTATACTAAAACACTATAGAAATATTAATTCCATATAAAACTGCAGCTATGAAGATGTGATAAGAAATGGCAACACATATTGTTTCCCGAAAACTATGAACGTAAACGACGCTTTCACGTTTATTGTTCGTTTTGTTTAACGTTTCGTTCATTTTTAGTGATAATTAAGTTCTGTGGTGTTATTTCGTGTGTGTGGATTGTTTTCCGACATTGGTTGTGAGTATTTTTCAGCAACTCCATGTGTAATTATTTTGTTAGTAGGATTGTTCGTCGCGCGCCATGTTATGCCGCCCGCCATTCTTTTAATTTATTTATTTTTATTTGTTTTTATCCCAATACTTTGATTTTTTATTACTTAGCATTTTATTTTTAAGTCATTATCTGCTTTTCCTTTTAGTTTTTACAAGTTATTGTAAGTTTTCCTGTGATTTAGGTTATAATAAAATTTCTTTCACGGCTCGTTTTTACGCGTCTGTGTATTCCTTGAGTAATTCGATATTATCGCTTACAACACAACTTGTGTGCAGTACACGGTCTCGTATCGCATTACAGCAGGTTATATAGACACTGTCGGTCACTAACGTGATTTTTTAAACGATTTATTTAGTACAAAGAAACTAGAAAGTGTCCTCAATATGCCGGTTTTTTAGGTTTCCGTGACCTTAAACTCGGTCTAGGTGTTTGTTTTACGCGTCGAAAGCGTACATATATTTTTAAAGTCTTTAGGATGTTAATTACAGATTTCCGATTTAAAAATTATTAGACAAATACCTCTACAGAACAGAGCTTCTAAACCTGGTTGTAAATGTTCTAAAACCAGTTCCAAAGTGTGGATTCAGTATTGTGAAATATACTTTCTCGAATCTAATCAATATAAAATAAAGTCACATGTGATTACAATTGTGTCTAAAGTGCGTTAATCACACAAAAGTCATCAAAATAACACCAACTTACATGAAATTAATACTAAACTTATGTTAAGACTAATTTTTTTTTATATACCTCTCCTCCAAGAAAAGTTAGAAAAGTTATCAACTAAATAAACTTCATTTTAATACACATAGAGTGCATAATACCTAATTCCTGGGTTATTAGGAATAAAACTGAATAAATCAGAACAAAACAATCCCTTCTATGTAAAGATCCGTACACCCAAATTCTCAACTTTACAGGGAAATGTTTCAATGTATTGAAAGAATGAAAATGAGTGAGGTTAACACTTGAGATTCCTGAGGTGTTGCAATGGAAATTTGATACATGCACATTAGTTTTCGTGTTTTATAATTTTGTTTCTATTATAATTGATTTATATAAAAATGAAGTTGTTTATGAAAAAAAAAAAAATGGCCATTCCAAAGTGACGAGTGACTGTTGACTCCTTTTTTCTTGAGCTTTAAGTAATTTCTCCCTAACCATTGGTTAATTAGACTTAAAATGACAATATCATGAAGCCAGATATGCAATTCAACTGAGACTATTTATTTACATAAATTTATGACATTACACTCAAAACTTTTAAATTTCTAAGTGTGACGGGTGGGACACTCACAATACCCGCCAGTTTGAGTTGATGGCTTCATTGCCAAGATCAAGACAAGCTATTAATATTTTGTTCAGCAAGTTTTTCATATGAAATAACTTATGTTAAAGTTCTATTTTATATATACACTTAATTAATAACTTTGATAAATTTTAAGGCCATTAATATGTTTTGTTGTGATGGGTGGGACAAGTTACAATTGAATACACAGAATTAATAAAATCACACTTATTAAAAAGAGATCCATTGTTAGTAAGCAAATACTTTTTTTTAATTTTTCTCTTATTAAGACATTTTAACATAACAAAATAATAGAATTAAAGAACTGATAAAGTAATTTGAAATACTATCTATGACGACATGAAATCAAAGTCACGCATGTAAAATGCGTTAATAAATTTGAAAAATCCTGCCGCATCCTTGAAGATTCTGTATCATATCAAAATATGTCAAAATATACTGATCCTAAAAATCATCAGAAAAAATATCACTTTTTAATTGTCTTTTTTTATGTGTTATAATGTCTTAATTATAAGAATTTGCTTACAAATGATGGTTCTTCATATAAACAGTGTATTTTTTAAATTTCTTTGTATTCAAACGTAACTTGTCCCACCTGTCACAAAATGGTGTCCCAATCGTCACAATTTAACACATCAAATGTTAAACTCAAAAATTAAAGCAACACCTAGTAAACATTGTAAAAACTGGAATCCAAGAAAATACAAACATTTATTCAAAGTAAAAACGTTTAGAAGTGTGTCCCACCCATCGCTGTGACACGCTTTCAAATCTTAATATTTACATTCCTATTTATGTGTACAATAACCAACCAAGCCAAAATAATGACCCTTAGCATAATTGTTACTTTTACTAAAGCAAATGCCAATAGATTGTATATTTATTGGTTAAAATAAAAATATATATTTTTCATTGTGATGGGTGGGACTTGAAATTAGTATTTATTATATATATTTATTTATCACTGTTTTAAAATTTGTAAATTGTATTTTCTTCGACAGTAATAACTTTTAAAAAAATTGTTGAACGCGAAAATTGTTGTTAACATTATAGGAAAAAATGCTTCACTATAGACAACAGCACTATGGCTGCGTTAATGAAGACAAAAAAATACAATAATTGTGAAATATCCGAAAAATATCATTTATTTCTAATGATTTGATTTATTGGGCGTATTCTAGTCATACAATTAAAACCAAATTGTGTAATTAATTTTTTTTGAACCTCTGTGTCATTTTCGCTGGACTGACCCAACCATTATTATAAATGTTACAC